GCTATACAAACTTGTTCAATAAAATAAATCACTGGCTTAGGGAGAAGAATTGGCAGTAAACAGGAAGACTGCCCATTGATTTCTTTTCTTTTTTTTAAAGAATCTGTTCAGGAAAGACTCTTACAGATAAATGATTTGAGGAAATAGGAATTCGTGTAGAAGAAAATTGGTTGGCAGGGGAATATTCCTGCTTACTGATTGTCTTCCTTGAAATGTTCTCTCAGGCCCCTATCTTAGTATCCCAAGTATCTAGCTGATGGCAAAGGAGGGGGACTCAATAGAGCAGGGCTTTTCAACCTTTTCACCCATTGTACCACTTTTAGGATATGGCAATATCTGAGAACTACCAGTCGCCTAGCAAGGTGTCAAAAACTTGATGACCAAAAAAAAAAAAAAAAAGGAAAAAAGTGATAAAGTATAGGTAGTCCTCGACTTACAACAGTTTGCTTAGTGACTGTTCGAAGTTACAATGGCACTGAAAAAAGTGCCCCCCAAGCCACAGCCGAGCAAGACACCTGCCTGCCCACCCAGTGGCACTCTTCCTCCTGTCCGAGGTTTTCATTGTTGTGAGCATTTCTGTTGAGGATTGGCAGCGGGGGTGGGGTGGGGGTGTTTGGTTTTTATCCCCCCCCTCTGCTGGGTGGTTGCAGCAGGTTTTGGTCACTTCACATGACTCTAGGACACAGTGACCGTCATAAATATGAATCAGTTGCCAAGCATCTGAATGTAAATCACAAGACCTTGGAGATGCTGCAACATTCCAGCTGATGGACACTTCTTCTGGGCTCAGCAGAAGCGCCAGGATCAGTGCTGCTTTCCAGCTGATTGGTGCTTCTTCAGGGCTCAGCAGAAGCACCAAGATCAGCGCCGAGCTCCAGCTAGAACAGTGGTGGCGAACCTATGGCACGCGTGCCACAGGCGGCACGCAGAGCCATCCCTGTGGGCACGCACGCCATCACCCTGGAAGGAGGCGGGGCCGGACTGCTTCCTTCCGCCTCTCCATGTGCGCCTGCGCTCTCGGCTCTCTTCCCTCTGCATTGAGAGCACGGGCTGGATGGTGGAAAAAGCCTCTGTCGCCCGGATCATCCGTGGGGGAGCGTGAAATCCCCCACCCGCCGTGCAGATCGCCCTGCCGCCGTTTCCCCCACCCACCGTGCAGATTGCACTGCCGTCATTCTCCCCCGTCGCATTTTCCAGGCCTCTGTCGCCCGCATCGAGCCGCTGAAGCGCCATAAAATCGCTCCAAAGCCATGGATGCGAGTTCCAGAGACTTCGAAAACACTTCTGCTGCCTAGATCGGCCGTGGGGGGGGGAGGGAGCAAAATCGCTCTGCAGCCCTAGATCTGGGCGGCAGAAGCAGCAGAGAGAATGAAAGACTGAGCCAGCAGGGAAGCAAAAGTGTCGGGAAAGGAAAGCATTGCAGAGTAAGCAAACTTACAAAAAGGGGATCTCTCTCTCTCTCTCTCACACACACACACACCACCCCCTTATTAATCATTTCTTCCCCCACCCCCTTTAATATCATGTTTGGAGTTTGGGAAGGCGCTCGTCTTCCCAAACTCCAAACTTGCGGGTCCTACTTTCCTAGCTTGCCTTCCCAAACTCGCGCGCGCATCCTATTTTCCTCGTCCTACTCCAGTTTGGAGTTTGGGAAGGTGAGCAGAGCCTTAACATAAAAGGCTGGTTCTGCTTTCAAAAAAAGAGAAAGGAGGGAAGATTATTGGGCTTCTTGCATCATTCCCACTTGAAGCCATCCTTTGCAACAAGGAAAATCCCCCCCCCACACACACACACAGGAATTCACTGAATGACTAAGGGGGGAAAACGTAACGTTGCTATTAAATCCCAACATGACTCCCAAGGAAGATGCACAATGGAGAGGGGGTGGCAGGGGTCTGCTGTTGTGCAGAGTAGGATTAGAGAGGGAGGGAGCCAGCCTCCCTCTTCCTCCTCCCAAACTCATTCACAATAAGCACACCCACCAGCTGCCGAATGAACCTTGGTCTTCCTCTGCAGAGATATATTCAGCACCTTGTCGAAGCCGTGGGGGTTTGTCTTGCTGCAACTCTGCTCTCTGCTCAGTGCCTGCTAAGGGCTGGTTTCCACAATTGTTTTTTTGCATTTTGGGAATATAATCACTATTCCCACAGAGTAACTCTCAAGAGGAGGACAGATCTATGGCTGCTGTGGAGAAGTGGTGGGATATAAGACAATAAATTGTACAATCGTTTGATTGGCATTATGCAGTGGTGCCTTCAAGATGTCTAAGAGGGCTAACCTCTTTGGAAGACTGTTTAAATCTAGACTCTATAATTAAGACATGACTTGTTTTAGTACCAATAGTCTTCAAAAAGAATCTGTTTGTGGGCCCATGGACTGTTGCTTGTGCAATTTCTTATTGCTTTCTAT